TCTTTCCCTGGAGGTTGCAGTGCTGCTCCATAGAGATCCCACCAAAGGCTGTGTGAGTCCAAGACCCTGACACCCCCACAGCCCAGAGGCACATCCCTGGCACAGTATGGGGACGAGTGTCACTCTCTCCGCAAAGCTGTGCTGGGTAGAGATCCCAGGGAACGATCCCAGTGGTGCTGTCTGGGATCTGACAGTTCTGCCTCCCTGCTCCCCAGTTACACCTCAGTGACAAGGCAGCTCAAACACATTTACCACTGGTTCAGCCCAGAACAAGAGCTGAGACCCTGCAATGAGATCCGATGCTTATTTGAGATCCCAACACAACAAATGAACCAAAATGCTAATTTTTTAACCGAAGCAGTAGATAACATCAGTGTCTTTTCCTTTCCCACCACCCGCTTTCTCTCTTTTGTGAGAGTTTTCACTGGCCGTGATGCAAACCAAGAGCAAACAGAGCCTGGGTGGGTCTCATCTAAAAAAACACCCTGTCCTCCAAAAGGGTCTTTTTCACCCCAGACGTGAGCTCTGCCCCACAGCTGGGAGCTCCTCCCACCTTCACCCACAGGATCCCATGCCGCTTCCCACACAGCTTTCATCTCCCCTTGCTTTTGTAGCCCTGGGAAAGCATTTTCTGAAGGATGCAGTGTTTTGATAGTCTCCTTGGCTGCTTCCTCACTTCATTGTTGATGCTGCTGTTGTTTATAACAGCAACATGTTTTTGGCAAGCAAAACCAAGCAAGGCTCCAGGAGCCGGATAGGCTCCCAGGCTCATCAGGGACATGATTTCAGCTCTTGCATCATGGTCACTCCTGGTGTGCCGAGCACGGATTTGGGCGAGTGTACACAGGTTTTAAGGAGCTTCTCCCTGTTTTAAGGCCAGATGGGACACAAGATCTCCAGGTCTCCCTTGGTGCATCACAGATCACCAGGTCACATCCCACTGCCTGCAAAGTGAGCCCAGGAGGGTTTTGGCTAAAAGAAAAGCCCCTTCCAGAAAGCCATTCAGCTCCCCTGGGAGACAGCCACGGGGAAGCCCCACCGGGCAGGTCCTGCTGGTGGGAAATCCCTCTGTGCTGTTTGGCTGGTTTCAGATAGGAATTTTTCCAGTTTCATCTACCTGACAAATCCCAGTGATGTCTTGCCCTAGGTTTAAGCAACAAGTGCCCTATCAGGGTACATACAGACACAGTATCTTTGATTAACCTGATAAATGAAATCAATCTCTTTCATCCTGTCCCTGGAAGGCCTTTTATTCAGCTCTCAAACAGAAACATCTGCCCAGCTTCCCTCCACAAAACCCCCTCCAGCACAAGGGACACCGCAGGCTCCCTCCATCAGCTGCTACCACCGGGATTCCCCACTCCCAGCCCTGTGTCTAACCAAACACCCTTCTTGGCAAAAAAATCAGCAGTTTGCATTTTACCCAACCCCATTCCCCTCTCCACAGCCTTTTCCACCAGCCGTTACTCATCCCTTTAGTGACCTCCTTTCCCAAAGTAATACAACCTTGTTGATCGCATTTTGCAAACTCCTTACTATGAGCTCGGGAAAGGGTCAGGTTCTCCCCTGTGATGGTTATCAGTGGGGGATAGCTTTCTCTGCTTCAGTGCCAGGCTGTGCAAGAAAAGAGACTCCCTCTTTCCCATGGGAACTGCTCTGTGACCACAGCAACCCGTGACGAGGATTTCAAGCACCGAGCCCTGCAGCCTTGGAGCATATTGCCATGCTCTTACCTGGACCTACATGGTAGCCGGCTTGGCAACAGGCAGGATGAACAACAGAGCTAGGGAGAGCTGAGCATGTGCCTCAGGTGCTGGGCTGGCTGCAGGACAAGGGCTGGGATGAGGGGCTGCAGCTGTGTCTAATCATGAGCTGTTTGGGCAGTGCTAGAGAAACGGGAGTCCTTTTTCTAAGGAAACTTTCTTTTTATGGATCTGCTTTTTTCTATATCTGCACACAGTGATAATAAAACACAAGGGACAGGCTCAGAGGCTTGCTGGAAATAGGATTTTGCCATATACCCACCTGGATAAATTGGCTGCTCTTGTTTAATGAAAGATGCTCCCTCCAGGTTTCTTGCATGGTAGCATGAATTCATTGCTGTTACCTCCAGCACTGCCAAAAGGCCGCTCCCCGAAGGCTTGTTTCACCTGAAACATCACTCCCATCGTGCCATCACACTGCGGGATATCTCATGGACCCTGTGTGTCCTTGCGCCAGGCGCCAGTGGGAAGGTTGGCATCCACACCACAGCCACCACTGCCCTGGCACAACAAAAGCAAGGCAGCAGCCAAGAGGGACCCTGAGCTGTGGCACTTGCACCGGCCCCTTGTGACACCAGCTGTGCTGCCCCCAAACAAGATAAAACAGAGACAGGAGAGGTCGATTAAATCTGAAAAATAGGGGTTTGTAGATGGGATCTTGTAAGGGACAATGTCATGGACCAAACTGCTCAGCTGTGTTTGTGTCCTTCTGAATAAAGTCAGTAACTGTATAATTACACCAGCATAATGACAATTACACAGTGTAGCTGATATTCAAGGAAAAGAAATAGTCTTCTGTAAAAAGACCACTCTTCCAAACAACCACTGTTGGTTTGTTTTCTGCAGAAACTTGCAATCACTCTTGATCGAGGGGAAAAAAATAAATCTGTCTCCAAATTCAAAAAGTCATGGGGGGGCATATGTGCCCAGCCTCTGCCTGCGCTCCAGGAGCTGGGCTGGCTGTGCATCCCTCCGGGTACCAGGGCACGGGGTGCTGAATAGCCGGGGCTGCTGAGGAGTGACTGAGTAACTGAGTAACACTGTTTTATTATGCAGTCTAATAATAATAGTAATAATAACAACAACAATAATAATACACTACTACTACTACTACTACTACTACTACATTACTGATGCAGCAAAGATTAGTGAGGTAAAATCTGCACCCTAATAAACTGATATTATCTGCACCCAGGTAAAATCTCTGCCCTATGATATTTTTATTATCTTCCTTTCTAAGCAGAGAGGGAAGTGGTGTGAACCCCATTTCTGATGGAGGACCTGCAGCACTGCAAAGCAAAGTGATTTGATTAATGCCGCCCAATACAGCCAGTGGCAATCAGGGATGGATGGTGGACCTTGCATCTCGTGTCCCCCAGTCTGGATACTGCATGCTATGATAAAAAATAGGTTATTTTCTTAATACATGCTGATACCTAATGCAGATATCCACAATGTTTTGCTCTGCACAATGCATAGTGAAAGATTACTCTTCTATTTTGGGAACCTAGTAGAGTAATTGAAAACTCAAACATTTTACACAGATTAGTATCTTTGCTTTGCCAATATCATTCTGTATCAATAACAATCCTCTTTAAGCCTTATCTTGTCATTGGCTGAAGGTAGAGCTGCCTCCATAAAGACTGTATGATTTTTAAGGCGATCAAAGAGCATTCTGTATCAATAACAATCCTCTTTAAGCCTTATCTTGTCATTGGCTGAAGGTAGAGCTGCCTCCAAGAAAGACTGTATGATTTTTAAGGCCATCAAAGAGAGAAACTAGATACTTGTCCCCATCAGAGTACCTGTTTCATAAATCATTCAGGCCTTTAGTTATCTGTGAATGTCTTACCTTTGCCGAGCACATGCATTTTTCATCAGCTTTGAATAATGGCTGTCTGTAGGACTGGCTGATGGGGTTGCCTTGCTGCTGTACAGAAATCGAGTTTTGAAGAGTCCCATTGAAAAGCAGCACCAACATCATGCCTGCAAGTTAAACAGTGAATGGAGTATAAAAATCCTCCGACACCAAGAGAAGAAGCACCACCAAATTCAGCTGAAGGATTCAATAATTCTGTGTTTGTACTGTGTAAGAACTGCACTTTCAGTAAGAGCAGTGACCTCATAATATTTTTATGAATTATTCATTCCTCTGTACTGAACTGATTGCAATTTTGAAGCAATTATTATCTTCTAAATAGAGAAAAGTAGTTGATAAAGAGCTCAATAATTACTACATGTTTGTACAACGATAATAACAGCCCTAACCCATTAACCTGTACGAGCTGAACTGGCATCTTTGGGGCAAGGGCTTAATCAGTGTTAAACATGCAGGATGCAGTGTGGCCCCCAGCACTTGTTCCAACTAATATTTGTGGAATTTATGATTAAGTCCATCCATTCTTTTTAAATAAAAGCTAGTGGTTGTTTTAAGACAGCAATATGTCAGGGTCAGGTTTTTATTGAAAAGTATCCTGACATAGTAAGTACAGAAGGAGTTTGGAAAATATTAAAGTCCACTGAAAACAGTTCCAGCTAAGTACTTCTTTTTGCTTTGCTTTTCTTCTTCTGCAAAGTTAGTTTTGCAATTATCCTTCAGAGACTTACATGTAACATTTTTAAGTGTTAAAATAACTTATGTTCTCTATGTAAGACAGCTTCAAACTCCTCTTGCATGGGTACGAATGAGAGCAGGGATGAACAGGACAGCGCTCGTGCCTGGATCTGCACAGCAATAACCCAACATAAGCATTCGGAGATTGCACAGTTGGGGCAGGGAGAGGTGTAGCCTCCTGTGGCATCTTGCTCTAGGATGAAGCTGGAAAAACACTACTCCAGGATCCCATGCAACAGCTATAACCATCCGTGACCTCCTTGTGCCCAAACACTGTCCCCTGGCAGGTCTCACTGCCACCACCTTTCCCAGGACTGCGATCCTTTCTGCAGCCAAAAGCACTGGGAGCTTGTCAGTGTGTTGATACCAGGAATAAAACATTTCAGAAAAAAATTCTTGGCAAGAATCGTATTATCATGTCACTGTTGGTTGGGGAAGAAGAGGTATCTATCACCATCAAAGCCACTGCAGGGAAGCAGTGCTCCAAGGACCGCACCACCAGCACTGCCCAGTTCTGCTCCCCGTGCCCAGACTCAGTGTGTGTCTGTGGGGGCTGCAGCTGGCCATGCCGGAGGGTCCCACATCGGGGGCGCACACCTCTGAGAAGGCTCTTCTACAACAGGCTGTAAAGGTTTGGCTAGTTTGAACTGTGTATCCTCAAAAAAATTCCATCACAGATTGATTTTAATGGGAAAATGAGCTGCTTTTTAAGCAAAGTATTGTGGAGGGAGGGTCACCATAGCCCCCTGTGATGTCTCTGATCTCGTCCTGATGCTGACTACAGCCCTGGGTGCCTCCAGACAGGTGGGACCAAGGCAGTTCTACTTTTTCCTTTTGCAAGCATATTTTTCTTATATTGCTTCCTATTTTTCTATAACAGGTGTTTGCTATGCTGAGTTTGGCGTGCGGGTTCCCAAGACCACGGGCTCTGCCTACACCTACAGCTACGTGACGGTGGGGGAGTTCGTGGCATTCTTCATCGGCTGGAACCTCATCCTGGAGTACCTGATCGGCACGGCCGCCGGCGCCAGCGCCCTCAGCAGCATGTTCGACTCGTTGGCCAACCACACCATCAGCCGCTGGATGATCAACAGCGTTGGGACGTTGAACGGACTAGGTATGTCCCACCATGCATAGCTACCTGCATTAATTAGGGCCTGGAAAATAACTGGGAGCTCGTCAGAAGTCATGGATATTAGGCTTCATTCATTATTAACCATCCATCTGCCATCTAGTTTACCCTCTAGTGCTTTGCCTTTGCAGTCTGGTTCGCAGATGGGATTCAAGGCAGTGAGGTACACGATACTTTGAGCCCCTTTGGGATGAGCTGGAATTTAGCAGAATAAGCACCCAGAAAAATCAGTTGAATGTCAGAGGGTAATGAGAGTGCAGGAGCGCTTCACCCAGTGCAAGCACTCTGCTCAGTCCCATTAAGGCACACGCAGAGCCTTGTTTGAGAGTCGGAGCTGGTGCTGCAGTACGGCCATGTAGATGATCCTGTGTGACCAGCAGTTCCAAAAACAGCCCATGGTTCCTACCAGTAAGTAAAACATCTAGCCTGTCTTGTGCCTGGGTATGAAACTTAATGTTCAATTGATTTTTAATTAGTACTTGGTGGATACATGTTATGCAAACTGGGACCTGATCATTTGTTTGCTGCCCTCCCAAAAGGCATCAGGATTTATCACCTTAATAAAACAGCTTTAGCTAGTGAAGGCAGGGGCATCTGGAGACCACCTTTGGTATGAGATCAAGGAGTTCTGCAAAGCCTCAGGTCTGAAAAGCTTTTTTAAAAGCCTCCACAGAGTTTCTGGAGGAACCATCCACAGCTATGGATGGACAGTTTCACACATCTTTTCTCGTACCCAGGGAAAGGAGAGGAGTCATACCCTGACCTTCTTGCTCTGGTCATTGCTGTCATTGTCACCATCATCGTTGCCTTGGGGGTGAAGAACTCGGTAGGGCTGAACAACGTGCTCAACGTCATTAACCTGGCAGTCTGGATCTTCATCATGATTGCTGGTCTCTTCTACGTCAAAGGTGACAACTGGTCTGAAGGGCAGTTCCTGCCGTTTGGATGGCCGGGGGTAAGTCCTGGGTGCACAGAGGGCCACGCAGCACCTAAGCGGTGCCACCCCCTGTCACGTGTTCAGCTTTGCCTGTGATATACCCACCCTACTTCCTCTGCACTCTCCAAATCTCAACCCTGCCAAACCCACCTGCCCTTTGGTCAGGGACCTTCAGCTTCCACCACTGCAGGCTTGGCTGCAGACCTCCTCGTTCCACCAAACCCAAAGGGTACTTCCATGCTTTGCCCGTATCTCCTGCGAGCTCTTAGAATAAACTCAGAACTTTTACAAAATGTCCTCCTGGAGAGCCTAACTCCATGTGAAAGTATACACCAGGAAATGCCACTAATTGTCGGGCAATGGAGCAAAACGCGGTGGCCATCCGAGACAGGGCGCTCAGGGGGAGCTGGCTCAGGCTCTGTAGAGGGGGAGATACTTGTGTTGGCTGGTTTTCAACAACAATGTTCTCAAGCATTTGTTTTGAGCACTTCATAATGCCACCTGCCTGTACTTATTTTATGGATATTCCCTCAAAGCTTACTGAGAATTTGGATGTATTTGGCTTTTTTAGCTTGCTTGCACTGGTTTTTATCCAAGGATGAACAGAGACAGAAAATATCTCAGCTGGCCTAAACCCAAGATAATTTCTCAGAATTACACTGCTCAACTCCATCAGCTGGGTTGGGCAGAAAAATAAGCAAGAAAGTAAAGTAAACCAAGAGTCTTGATTACTGAAAGGGTGTCAAGCTCCCATACAGTCCCTGCACTTCCCTTCTGTACCTCTCTGCCAGAGAACAACAGCGAGGAGAAGAGCACTGAGGCCCATTTGAGAGCAGAGGTTGTATTTACCTTTGGGTTGTGCTTGGCTTTTTATACCATAAAATAGGAACAAAAAACAGCAAATAGAAAATATCTATTTTGCTCTAATTCAACCCACCTGGCAAAAATACATAGTTTGAAAAGATACATATCTGAAGGGATATCAATAGGGTCTTCCCATCCTTTTCAGCTGGTTGTTTGTCTCCCAAATTGTTTGTAAAAGTAAATCTACCATAGCACAAGCATGAGATCCCCAGGAGCAGAGGAGATACTTTAAAAAGGTAATTACAGGTAGTCCCCTGAAATAGGTGAATTTTTACTGTTTTCTCCATCACTAGACAGCTGAGGTGACAGGAATGTGATGGACACATGGTACCCAGCTAGCTAGACAGAAGTACACAAGAGTTTTACAACTGTAGATCAGCCCACTCCTTATGGACACACAGTCTTTAGCCTGCTTCAGTGTTTCTTCCCTATAAATGTCCTTGCTAATATTGTATATTTTTTTAAAATCACATAAAAAAATAACTAAACAGTACAAATAATTCCTCATCCAAGTGCTCCAACGTGTGCTCCTAACCTGTCTTCTGCAGCTTCCAAGCAAAACAGAAGTTGTTTGGAACGTGGCACGCATCTGACTGTTGCTGCTCTCTTCTCCTTCCTCTGCTAGTGGATCTTGCTGCCACATGAGATATCTTCCTAAGACGGAATGTGTAAACATGCTCCAAATCCATACTAATATAAACAGATTAGGGGTGGAGTATTGTGAAAGCAAACCTGAAATTGGTTACTTGTCTCCTCTGCTGCCAAGATCTCCCAGCAGATTTGGGTTTCGGGTTTGCGGTGCACCATGATGGAGCTGCAGATGCCTCCAGTGACTCAGGTTGCATGTTGAAATCCTCTCCCTAGACCAGATCACTGGGTTATGGGTGTTCCCAAGGTCAGTCCACAGATGGGAAGACCCCACTCGACACATTCACCCCCTGATCTGCCCCACTCACCCTTTAGCTCAGACTGGGAAGAACTGAGCTCCTTCATTTTTCCCGAGTTCCCTCTCCCTAGTCGGGTGCCAGCCTCTCTCCTGGCACTGAGACACTTGATCCTCCACACAGGTGCTCAAAGGGGCTGCGACATGTTTCTATGCCTTCATCGGCTTTGACATCATCGCCACCACGGGAGAAGAAGCGAAGAGTCCCAACACCTCCATCCCCTACGCCATCACAGCCTCGCTTGTCACATGCTTGACAGCATATGTGTCTGTAAGTACTAGCTATATGTATGTAAATGTACATAAATATGTACGTATACATGTATAGGATCGCAGAATGGTTTGGGTTGGAAGGGACCTTAGAGATCATCGAGTGCCACCCAACTGCCATGGGCAAGGACACTTCCCACTAGCCCAGGCTGCTCAAAGCCCCGTCCAGCCTGGCCTTGAACCCCTCCAGGGATGGGGCATCCACAGCTTCTCTGGGCAACCTGGGCCAGTGCCTCACCACCCTCACAGGAAAGAGCTACTTCCTTATTTCTAATCTAAATCTATGCTCTTTCAGCTTAAAACTCTTACCCCTCGTCCTATCACTACACTCCCTGATCAAGAGTACTTCCCCATATATATATGTACACACACAGATAAAATATATATAGATATATACTGTGTCCCTTCTGGGCATCTGCATGTCTCCCCTCCCCACAAGGTGGGGTGCCAGCCTGACCCTCACACAAGGGCCCTTTCTTTGGCGGGAACTGAGACATCAGCTGTGTTTCTGTGTGACTGCAGTGTCCTGCCGAGACTACATTCAACCCCAGTCTGGTTTGTCCCCAGGCTCATGTCACCATGCCGAGATCCCTCTGCTGGCTGCAGGGAGATGGTGGCAGCCAGTTTTTTCCCCATGCCTCATCCCCATCTGCAGCTATTTTTGCATCCAGAAGTGCAGCAAAGCTGAAGGAGCAGCAGCATTGCAACAACCTTTCTCCATGTTTTCAGGAGAAGGAGCACTGCCTCTGCTGGTGGTGTGGGAGAGGGTCCAAGGCACCCCAACAAAGACATCTGTACTCAGGGATTTTCCCTGCAAAAGAGCAAAATTGAGTCATGGAGGAGAAAAAATATTGTTCTGATCGTTTCAAGGAAATTCACCTACTGCCTCTCCTGCAGCGTGGTGGGCTTCCCTCAAAACCAATTTCTCTTTGGCTCAAATAAGATCAGAGTGTTACACCAAGTGTTGCTGTGTCGGATTTTGTGTTTGTCTCGTGGGGTGTGCATGACTCCAGCAGCGCTGTCCCCATACAGGAATATGGCTGATGAGAGTGTTACTAACCCCACTGGGTCCCACCAGGCGCCTGCAGCGAGGTTCAAGGTGTCTCCTTCTTACCTTCAGATGACAAAAACCGATGCCCCGCTGTCCCCTGGATTTACCACCCGACAGCAAAGCGCATACAGACCTTACCTCCAGCATTTTACATCCCCTCCACGGGGGTCATAGGGACACAGTCCAAATTAGACTTGAATTTTGTTGGCTCTCCACCCTTGAGAACCATCCCCTGTGCTCTGCGGGTCCCCCAGCACCCCCAGAGCTGTTTCCTGCTTCTCTTGCCTTCCCCAGGTGAGCATCATCCTCACGCTGATGGTGCCGTACGATGCCATCGACACCGAGTCCCCGCTGATGGAAATGTTTGTGGCCCATGGCTTCTATGCAGCCAAGTTCATCGTTGCCATCGGGTCCGTGGCCGGCCTGACTGTCAGCTTGCTGGGCTCCCTTTTCCCAATGCCGAGAGTCATTTACGCCATGGCTGGTGATGGGCTGCTCTTCAGGTCAGTCATGCCCATGCTGGCATTTTGGCCCCTTGGGACCCGGAGGGGAGGTGTGCTTAGGGGGCAAGGGGCTGTCCTGTGCCCCAACAGGCCGGTGCTGTCACTGCAGGGAGCAGTGGGCACGCACAGGCTCAGTGTTTGCAGAACGGGGCATGCACCAAAGCAAAATCCCGGGGGGAAAAATCAGGAGCGGTCTACACAAAAGTTTCTCATTTGGTACCTAGAGATCCAGCTCATAGGAGGATGAGCATTTAATCCAAGAGTTACTTGCAAAGGAGAGCAGTTTATATGTATAAAATCTTGGCACTTATTTGCAAGTCTCCACGTGCCCATTTCAGAGCTGGTTAAACCCAGATTTAACTCCAGATCCAGCCTCAGCAGTATTTCCAATCCCTGGCTGTCTGGAGTCTAAACTCCAAAAAGAAATGAGACCTGAAGGGATTATGGCTCTGAGCCTGGCCCCTCCAGCCAAGCAAGAGTTATTGTGACAGGAAACTGCTGCCATCTGCAATTTTAACTTTCTGTGACTGTTTCGCACTCTAGATTTTTGTCCCATGTCAGTTCTTACACGGAAACTCCTGTAGTGGCTTGTATTGTCTCCGGATTCCTCGCAGCGCTGCTCTCCTTGCTGGTCAGCCTGCGGGATCTGATAGAAATGATGTCCATCGGCACGCTGCTCGCCTACACGCTGGTCTCTGTCTGTGTCCTGCTCCTCCGATACCAGCCCGAGAGTGACATTGATGGCTTTGTCAAATTCCTCTCCGAGGAGCACACCAAGAAGAAGGAGGGCATCCTGGCCGACTGCGAGAAGGAAGCTTGCTCCCCAGGGAGTGAAGAAGAGTTCACCGGCCCACAGACCAACACGTGCGGGGCAAAAAATCTGCCATCACTTGGGGATAATGAGATGCTAATTGGGAAATCTGATAAATCCACCTACAACGTGAACCACCCCAATTACGGCACGGTCGACATGACCTCAGGGATAGAGGCAGATGAGTCTGAGAACATCTACCTCATCAAGCTGAAGAAGTTGATTGGCCCTCGCTACTACACTATGCGGCTCCACCTTGGGCTGCCGGGGAAAATGGACCGCCCCACAGTGGCCACCGGCCACACAGTCACCACCTGCGTGCTCCTGCTCTTCGTCCTGATGTTCATCTTCTGCTCCTTCATCATTTTTGGGGCAGACTACATCTACGAGCAGAGCTGGTGGGCTGTCCTCCTTGTCGTGCTGATGGTCCTGCTCATCGTCGTGCTGGTGTTTGTGATCTTGCAGCAGCCAGAAAACCCCAAGAAGCTGCCCTACATGGCACCTTGTCTGCCCTTCGTCCCTGCCTTTGCCATGCTGGTGAATATCTATCTCATGCTGAAGCTCTCCACAGTCACGTGGATCCGATTTGCTGTCTGGTGTTTCGTGGGTGAGTATCATATTCATTTATTTTAATTTTTTAACTGACTCTCTTTTGAAAGGATGTTAATAACTTCCCTAATTAGAGTGCTTAGGCTGATGCTTCTTCAGCTGGAACATACCCGGTCCTTTGCATTTGCCCCTTGTCATCCTGAAGTTCTTAGAAACCTCGGCTAATCGAGCCCCCAAACCACAGCTAAATGGAAAATTACACCTCCAGAAAATGTCAGTTTGATGGAAGTAAACTGCTCCATGCAAAGGCAACTGTTTTGATGAGTCTTTTGATGCAAAGTAGGTGGGTTCTGGAAATTGCCTTGCAGGCAGGTTTCCTACAGAAATCTGCCTGCTGTCTTGCTATTTCACCCACTTGAGCTCTTCAGCAGCCCACACCAAAATCACAGCACTGCGTTTCCAAAGCCCAGAGCTGCCCAACCCCAACAGCCCTGGGAGAGACAGAGCCAAGGGATCTGTGGGCTGTATCTCCTTTTCTTGGTCTAAGTCCTTAACTTGTAGCAGGGGAATCTTGGGACTCACAAACTCTGTTGTGGACCCTTTGTTGACAAATTTAGGCTTCCTGGCACATAGCCAGGAGCCTGACACATCCATAGTTTCCCTTGCTTTGCATTGCAGCCCACTTATTCCACAGCCCCAAGAGACAAAGACACGTCTGCTGGGAGCTGCTGTCCCACCCAACCTGCAGGTGGCACAATCATGGGGCCAGCAGCAATCCCAGCTGATGTTTAAAACATACAGTCCTTGGCTCACAGTCGGCAGCCTGAAAACACAAACCTGACGGGTCTGAAGAGCAGGTATCAACTACAACATACACTGGCTTAAAAAATGTAGGGATATTTACATGGACTTAACCCTCACCAGCTGGCACCAGCCCAGTGCAGGGTGGGAGGAGATTGGTGGTGAGCTGGGCTGGATCCCCCACCCACCCCTGACGTGGGTTTTGGGGTGCAAGCTGTTTTGGGGCGTGGTGTGTTTATATCTACGTTTTATCTGGGGTTGCGGGGCCAGTGTGGGTAGCCAGGGCCCAGCCCTCTCCCTCTCGCCTGCCACAGGTCTGCTCATCTACTTTGGCTACGGGATGTGGAACAGCACGCTGGAGATCAGCGCCCGCGAGGAGGCCCTCCACCAGAGCACCTACCAGCGCTATGATGTGGACGTCGACCCCTTCTCTGTGGATGACGGCTTCTCTTACACCACAGAGGGTGAGGGATACCCGGGCTGGGGTCCCTCTGAGGACAAGGGCTTCTCGTACCAGCAAATGGCAGGAGCAAAGGAAAGCCATCGGACGAGTAGCAGGTCGAAAAGTAAAGGCAGGCACAAACCGCCATCGGAGGCTCTCATCGCCAACGACGAGTTGGACTACTCACCTGAGTAGCGGGGCTGGCAGCGGGGCGCTGCACCACCCAGCTGATGAGGAAGGGTCTCCGCGGCTCCCCCGTCCTGTCCCATCCTCCCCAGGTCCTCCACCACCACCCCGCTCACCTCCGGTCCTCGGGGCGCGCTCTGCGATTGCCGTTGACCACAAACCAAACACACCTGTGGCCTGTCCCGGCTCCACTGGTCAGGTTCCAGTTTCGTGAATGCCGGCTGATCCCCCGGCACTGATTGATCTCCTAGCACCAGCTGCGCCAGAGGAGGTGATGGAGTGAGAGATGTGCCAAACTGTGAGGGCGTTGAAAGGTGGAAGGAGCCACATGAGGGGATGAGATGAGTTGTCCCCATGGAATGTCCACCCAATGGCCGCAGTGGTGAGATGCCACTCTTACACGTTTGGCACTTTCTTAGCATGTGTGTTTTTTTCTTTGAACCACCTTAGAAGTAACAGCTGAGCCAGAGGGGCAGATGGGTGGGAGATGGACAAACCTCTTTCAAGGGAGTAGCTCTGAGGTGGATCTAGGGATGTTGGTCCCATCACACAGCGTTTCCATGGCCTGTTTGGCGCTATGGCACTCAGTGCACATAACAAGGCTATGTCCATCCCCACACCCTGAATCCAAGCATCCCAAATACTGTGATTCAAAATTAGTCCATGTCTCAATCAAGTCTTGAAATCCCAGCATGGCTGAATGTCCCACATCTGCAGCTGGGAGCCTGGTCCCATTTCTGGTCACAGCAAGGGCTGTGACCCACTCATGGCTCAACTCGTCTTGTGCAAATGGTCAACAAGGACCACACACCTTTTCTCTGAGCATCACCGGTCTGAGGCTGGGTGCTGTTATCACCATGTTGTGTCTTTTATGAAAGTGACAATGTTGTAATTCCCTCACTGTGGTGGGCACATTTCAGGCCTTGGTGCGTCAGGGACATGTCCATGCCCCTGCAAAATAGCAACGTCCGTGGGTCAGCCACATCTTGGCAGGGCTGGGCCACACGCGGCAAGCAGAGAGGACTCAGCTACTGAAATCTCACTCCCTGCTGCCATCTCCACCTTGTACCATTTTCTCTGTTTCTGACCCTAGCTTGGTGGATGCTGTATAAAAAAAACCACTGAAATGCTGTGTCCTCTATAAGTGTTTGTATTTCTATTTGAAACCAAACAGAGCTGGTGGTTCCCAGGGCAGAGGTGGACATTTCTCAGAGTTAATCCCTCCGGTATGGCCAAAGCGTGGCCACGACCCCCAGCAGTGCCATCATGTTCCCTGCCTCCTGCGTCCCCCCAGTACTGTGGGGGTGATGGGGTTTGGTCATAGCCACTGTCTCCTCCAGCACAGACAGGAGCTGCACTGCTGAGTCAGCGATTAGCAGCAGGTCCGGTTCTGCAGCCCATCGCTAACATGCCTGGTTTAAAACACCACAATGGAGGAACATCTTTTTGAATAAATAATAAACAAGGGAGCACCCCATCGGACAGTGACACCTGTCCTCCTCCCAGATACTGAAGGCTGCAGCTGGATCCATCCCCGGGGCTCCCCTGGAGCAGCCCAGACCAATCTCCTGTACCAGGGGCTGCTGCTGGCATCCCAGGGGACAATTTAACACCAACATGAAGCAGGATTTCCTACATGTGATACTGAGAGCCATTAACACTTTGGATCACAGAATGAGGTTCAGTCCCCCCAAAACACAGCATGGAGCCTGCCTGGCACCTTCTGTGAGCAAGGGTGCTGCTGGGTGAGGAGGGTGCCTGGGCCCTCGCCTGTCCCCATCACTCCCAGGGCTCAGGGGTTTGATGGAGAGGCTCTGCCTATGGCTACAAAAGCTTCCCAGCAGCTCCTGTCCCAGTCACAAACTACAGTCCTTTTCCCAGTGGAGAAGAGCATCCAGTTCTGCAGATCTTAACCTGGAGCACCCCAGGCAAGCCAAGGGAAGTCTGACCTCTGCGGGAGCTTCAGGTTGGGACTGAGGATTTGGCAAAAGGACCTGTAAGCTTCGCTCCAGCTTCCCCTTCTGCTGCCTGCCCTGACCATGCTTCTATGAGCAGAAATCCTGAGTGTGTCCGCCCAAAAAGCTGTTTGCAATGTGCACATGGGCCAGCTCAGGAAACCTTTCCAGTGGTGCCCAGCACCTCTCGCAAAGGTCACTTCGCACTTGGCTGCCCTCGTCCTCGATGCCTTAGCAGTACCCAAGAGAGATGGCACCTCGCAGGTCTGGCTTTATGTTTTCAGGGAGAAAGATTGATGCTATTTTCTTACCAGCTCTTGTACTATACCGTATCGAAGGTAGTCCCAAGGTAGTCATCTTCATCCTGCTTCTGCACGGTATTTAGGCATCTGCCGAACCACAAACTCATGCCCAAGTACCCTGTCAAATCAAAGCCTGTTATTCCTTTTCCAGCCTTAATCTCTTGCTACAGAGCAGCTACCAGTACCAGTGTCTGTCGTCATGTCCGCTCTAGTTATGCCATATAATTTGACGAGGGCTTGATCCCTTGCTCTTTGGTGTCTGTAGGAACCTCTCCATTGGATCCATGCCCTGAGTGAAGCCCTTTGGCTCCTCTTGTTCCCATGATGTGGACATCAACCCGGGGAAGCGCCGGGGCAGGATGGCCACGCCATGTCCCTGGGACCGCTAGGAAAGAGCATGTGATGCCACAGCATCGTCAGCCCTTGCCGTGTCAGGGGATGGGAGCCGTACCTCCTCCCAAACCCACCACATCCCAAGGTGGTAAGGAGAAGGTGCGTAAGGTGAAGGTGGCAGAGCCACAGGTTGGGTTGGGTCTTGCCTGGGTTGGCTGGGAGCCAGGTGGCCAGTGCCCCGGGAGGACAGTTTGCAGTGGGGTCCCCCCACCCTGCTGTGGGTGGCAGTGCCTAGGGGACATGTGGGCTCAGCCTCTGTTTGGGAGTTCATGTGCTTTCCTTTGGAGCAGGTGTTGGGGTCTTCAATAGGCACAAGCAAAAGGCCAAAATGTTCAGGCATGTCCATCGCCCCGGGGCACCGCTGGCCCTGGGGGAGGCTTCGGATGCTGGGAGGAGGTGCAAGTGCTCATTTTGCTGTAACCTCAAAATTCAGCCTTTCCCCCTGGGTGCCCTCAGGGAGGTTCTCCCAGCCCTGACCCCTCAGGAGGACACCAGCAGAGCGGTGCCATCCCACTCCCAGCACCGGCGAGAGCCACACAGCTCCCCAGCCTGGCCACCCTCTGTGGGGAATGCACCCTGGGGGGCACAATGCATGATACGGATGGAGCATAAATACCTCAAACCTTCCAGACCGGCTCTATAAGATCTCAGTCCCTCCACAAATTCACTCCGCATGGTTCTGACCACTCGGTAGGAGGCCCAGCACACTGGCATCCTCCACACCACAGAGAAATCATGCCTCGAACAACACGGGATGTTGTAAATCCAGCTTGTAAATGATCTTCACTTCGTTTTGTTCGGTCTTTCTGATGTATATCTTGCTTTTTTTTGCAGATGGTACTTTCTGGTGTAACAGTTCTCTGCGGTTCTGGTATTGAATTGGTGTATTTGTTAAAAAAAGTTTGTTCTATTGATTTTTTTTTTTTTGTGGTTTTTTCAAAAGCCCATTGATGCATTGTACAATGGGATCTTGTAGTGTGTCATGAGAAAGAAAAAAAATATGCAGATATGTTATGGAGTGATTTTATTTTCAAATGATTGTGTTGTAGACAACTATACATAATATATATATATATATTATCAAGATACTAAGAAAAAAAGTCTAAATTTACCAAAATCTGTATATTTTAATAAATGCATAAAGCTTTATTGTGTGCCTTTACATTAAAAAAAAAAAAAAAGACAAGAACTTATGGATTTTTAAAGGAAGCCAGAGACAAACGTGTCTTCGTATCAGTTTCCGTAGTAATGTAAGTCTTTTAAAACCAAAAAATAATAATAAAAGAATTCCCATATCAATTTTGTTAAACCAATCAGTACCTGAAGGTCTGATATTTTTTCAATGCCAATTTGAAGCTAGAGAAGAACAAATTTTGCCTTAAGTGCTTCATAATTTCCTTTGTAGAAGATCCATTTCAATGGGCTGACTTTGGTATTTACTTGCACTGTTGTGAAAAAAAAAATGCTTATCAGTTTACACAATAAAAAGGAAAAAAAAACAAAAAACAAAACCTAAAGCCAATGACCACAGGTTGACTATTGCAGTGCGAAGCCCCGGGGAGCGCCGACGTCTTCCCATCTGCTCACAGTGCTGCTGGGCCCCCTCTTTCCCCAGGGTAACAGGGGTTTCATGGCACCGTCACCTCCTGCATGGGCACCGGGATCTCGGGGAGGCAGGCATTTCTCCCAGGGCCACGGCTGCCTCTCCCCTTCGGGGTGCTCAGGGCCACCAGTGTCCCCTCCCTCCTGTTATTGCTGTTATCTGGGGGATGGGGAGGATGCCAGTGTGCTCCCTGGGATGGGGAGCTGCAGCTGGTCCTGGTGGAGCTGGGGAGGATGCCAGTGGGTGACCACTCCACACCAGGGTGACCACCAGAGCTCACACCCACTGCTCCACAGCTGACATCAGGCATGGTGTAGAGCAGTTTTGCCATTCAGGAGAATGATATTTCTCTCTATTTTGAAGCTTCACATCAGCAAACAAGCACCAAAAGCTTTCGAGAGCCAACAACACCATGGTCAACACAACCTGGGAGAACCCCACGGGGGAGCGGGGCATTTTGGGAGGGCACAAAGCAAGTGTTTCAGCTTTGATCCTTTAAAAATAGAAAAGTTTTATGTTCTTTATGCTTCCTCCAAACGCTTCCCCTCTGCGGTGCCAGCACTAATATCCTGTCCCATACTTGGCCCCATCTCCTTGTGCTCCACGGCTGCAAATGTCTGTTTTCACTGCGGCCACTCTGGCTTGTTCCACTTTGTTTGGATTTTTCTTCTTTTCCCTGAAATACAGCTTCTTCCTTCCTCCAAGCACCTTGCCCAGGGCCTTTGAGGGCTGGGCTTGGGATCAGCTGCCGGTAAC